CGCCGCGGCGCCGCCGCCCCGCCCGCCGCCGCGCCGCGCCAGCAGGCGGCGGAGCAGGCCGCGGCGCAGCAGGCGCCCGCAGTGGGCGGCAACGGGGCGCCCTTCAGCCGGCCCGACCGCGCGTCGCGGCCCTACCTGGGCCGGAACCTCTGGTGATCGATCTGGCGGCCCGCGCCCGCGGCGCACGCGGGCACGCGACCGCAGACGAGCGGCCGGCGCTGGAACAAGCGGGCCCGCGCGACGCCCACCGCCCGCGCGGCCCGGCGCCTGCGGGCGAGGCGCACGGGGGGCGTGCTCCCCTCCCTCCCTTGCGCGCCCGCCCTCTTCCTCTCCCCCAACACCACTCCCTATTCATTGATCAGTGCGACTGCGTGCTTCCATCGTGCTCTCCGTGTGTGACCATCATTACCGTCTTGATGCCTCAATGGTTGCTGGCCCGTGCAGGCAGCTGCCCCACCGCCACCCGTCGGCCCCGTGTGATACAGTAGGTCTGCCCCAGCCGAGCTTGGTGTGGCGTACCAGCAGCCACCGGCTCGCAGACAGGATATGTTATGTTAGGCCTGGGTTGTGATGGTGTAACAGACGAGGTCGAGGCGGAGGGCGCGGCAACGGCCGCGGCGGCGACGGCACCGGCGGGCGCAGGTGCGGGCGGGGTGAGGGTGTGCGATGTGGGGGGGAGGGTTCGGCTGCCCAGAGGAAGGCGACGGGCCAGGGGTTGGGAATCACCACCGGGGCACGGTGCCCATGCAGAAGGCTCACACATGCGCGGCGGCCGGTCAGGGAATCAGGGAGGTCACGGTGTCCTGCATAAAGCCGTGCCGGCTGGCCCGCGTCCCGATCCGCCTGTTCCCCTTCCCTTCAGCTGCTTGACACCCCCCCCCCATATGCATGCACACGCCATACGAGCAGCCGCTGCCCCTGCTTGCCAGCACCGCATGTGTAAATGCATCCGCACTCTGCGAAGTGCCCCGAAAAGGCCCCATTACTCACTGCGGCGCAGGCCGTGGCGGCAGGCGCCCAGCAGCTAGGCGCAGAAGCAGGGGTTGAAGCCAGGGGTTGGCGGTTCCATGCCCATGCCTTATAGCCCCGCTGTACGCTTTGTCAGAAAACGAATAGCATATTTTTCCTGTGAGACTGCGACTGGCTTATCCGCACACGAAGGCCGCGCGCTCAAAGTCACTGGAACCGAGCCGCGCCTAGGGCAACAGACATTTCGCCATAATGGATCACAACGCCGTGGGAGGTGGAATGGACCAGCTTGTGTCAATGCTCATGGTGCGCGGCGCCAACGCCGCCGACGCCGCTGTCGGCGCGCCTGCCGTGCTGTGGGACTATCAGACAGCCAGAGCCCGCTCCCATGCATGCATGCGGCGCGCCGCCGAGCATGATTTGCGCAGACAGAGCGGCTTGCACGCAGCTCGACGGCGTGCGGTTCCACTTGGCCGCTGCCTTACTCAACTCCGTTCCGACCACCCCCGTCACTCCTCAACACTCTGCCCCACCCCCCATCCCCCAAAAAACAAAAGATTAGCAAGATGAGCACCGGCCACAGCACCATGGACATGGTCCTCGTGATCCTCGTGCCGCTGCTGCTGCGCCAGCTGCTGCCCCTGCTGCAGGCCGCCTGGGAAAAGTACTTGAAGGTGCGCCCCCGGCGCTCCGCACGCCATGCTCCTCTTTGCAACCCCCACTCGCCGACGACGGTCCCTTCGCCACGGCGCCCGCGCCAACGGCAGCAGGCTCGCTGCCACGCGGCCGCCCAGGCGACTCAAGCTCGCACGCCTTTATAAACCCCTCAAGTCCACCGCCACCCGCTCGCTGCTGCTCGCTGCTGCTCGCTGCCGACCCCGTCTCCTCCCCCACAGAGGGCCGACAAGGGCAGCGGCGCCCACCAGCGCGTCGTGACCTACACCCAGAAGCACGCGCAGTACAGCTACAGCGGCGACATAGACAAGGAGCCGCCCAACCACCTGCTGCAGGCCGCGATCCTGCTGTACCTCAACCACACCGCTGACCTGGCCTCAAAGATCACGCACGCCGACGTGCAGCTGCGGCGGGTCAAGAAGGACGCAGGCGTGGCCACAGGCGCCGCTGCTGCAGACTGGGCGTCCAAGGGCGGGGGCAGCAGCGACGACGGCGGCGGCGGCGGCGGTGACGACGGCGCGTCGTCGTCGTCGTCGGGTGACAGCTGGACCAGCTGGTGCCGCCCGTCGGGTGACGAGCTGCTGGATCACCTGGGGGTGTCACTAGTGCCGCCGGAGGACACATGGGTGGAGCTGGAGGCGGGACTGCGGCTCAAGCGGTGAGTCAGCCTGCGCGCGCGCAGCAGCGGCGGGCCGGGGGAGAGCGCCCATGCAACAGCGCAAGTGAAGGTGGTTGCATGGGCATTTCGTGTTGAGCTGGAGGTTGAATGCGCCTGGGCTTTGGTGGCTAAACGCCCACAATGTGGGTGCTTTGGGTAGCCAGCAATACACACCTGCTCATAAACTTCTCATGCGCGCGCGGCGGCCCGCCTTCAACCACACAGGATCGAGCAGAACTCGAACAGCAACGGCGACGGCAGTGGCGGCGAGGGCGGAGGCCAGAAGGCCGCGTCCAGCAGCAGCAGCACCACCACTCTCATAGTAGAGGGCGCCACGGCGGCGCAGGTCGATGGCTTCATCGGCCGCGCGTGGGCCCACTTCCGGGAGGAGCGGTGCGCGGCGGTCGCGCAAGGGCGCGAGCTGGGGTTGCGCACGCCGGGCCCTGCTGCACCTGCGGGCCCTTGGATCGCGCGTGCTGGTTGGGGGCATGCGCCCTCCTTGCCAGCGGCCGCCGGGCTGCGGTTGCAGCTGAGTAGCAGGCGGCTGCCACTCAGCTGGCAGGCGGCTCGAGACAGCGTCGTACTTCCAGGCCCTTTGCATTCGCACGACGGTTCTCAACCATGCGGTCTGTATGAAAACCCTCACCCAGCGTGACCTCCATGGCACCCGTCACCCCAGGCGCAAGAAAAAGAAGGACGAGAGCCGCTACCTTTACATGCCGGTGCTGGGCCGCGGCGGCGGCGGCGGCGGCGGCGAGGAGGCGGGCGGCGACCGCTGGACTTACAAACGGTGGGAGGGCGGGTGCCTGCGGGAGGGGACTGCGATCTGAAGGCAGCAACCGCCCCTCAAGGCGGGCGTCCGTCCCACAGCAAGACACTCAATCTACATCTGTTAATCGTTTCAGTCTAACCAAGTTTCTTAATTTCTTCATGTCATGCACCAAACCCCTAACCCCCATCCCCCATCCGCCGCCCCCCGTCAACAACCCCCCAAGGTACAAGCTCTCTGACGACAAGACGTTCACCAGCCTCTTCCACCCCGACAAGGCCGCCCTGCTGGACCTCCTGGAGGCCTTCACCCACGGCCGCGGCAAGTTTGCCATCCCGGGGTACCCCCAGAAGCTGGGCTTCCTGCTGCACGGCCCCCCCGGCACCGGCAAGACGTCGCTCATCAAGGCGCTCGCGGCGCACACGGGGCGCTCCATCGTGTCGGTCCCCCTGAGCCGCGTGCGCACCAA